ACAATCTTATCTTTATTGATTTTACGTGGGGAAAGCATTATAGATATTATTAAACGTTCTTTTTTCTGTCATCTATCACAGTACAGTTTTATACATCATTACAAAAGTATCGAACACAATTTCGTTTGAACGTTGTTTTTAAATAATATTTTATACAATTTGTGTAAGTGATTTTTTTTTTTAAATGGCTAGTATACAGACATTTAAAAGTATACATGACAAGGAAATGTTACTTGTAAATAATTATGAATACATGTTTGATAAAAAAAGACTGCGAATACGTGATCAAAATAATATATATTATTGGAAATGTACAAAACGATGTGGAGCAACATTTCGGACAATATTTGAGCACGGTGAACATAAACAAGACAATTGTTTTATTAATAATGATCATTCTCACGCACCAGWTACWGTTAAACATCATTGCAAAATTCTAAAAAATAAAATTAAAAAATGTGYTCAAAATTCACAAGATTTTTTACGCTGAAAATCGAATTAACGAATTATAAATATTTTGGTAAAATTCGTGTTTCATTTATCGATAATTTCGAACATACGACTTTTCGAACATATAATCTTTCGAACAGACAATTTTTCATACACTTAACGTTCGAACATACAGCATTCGAACACATGACTTTCGAACACATGACCCCTTACCCAACTAAAGTATTATATGACTATAGAATATAATATGATGTATTATACGAGGAGTAACAGATATAATTTACTTATGGAATAACTTTTGTTCAAGTAATTATTTTTTTATTTTGTTTCATGGAGTGACCTTAGCACTACATGTATAATAATTTTTTATGTTTTATTTAAGTTCTGAAAATAAAAAAATGTTTAGATAAATTTAAAATAGCCTATTTGTSAATCTGATTATAAGAACAATTTTGATGGTAAAAAGATTTTTCTAAGTATGTAGTTTATTTTTTAGRATTTTTATAAAATTTAAAATTTTTTGGTTAAATTATTTGGAACGTAATAACTTTTTTAAAAATATGATTTTTGGGAATTTGCTGACATGGGTATATTTCTTAAATTATTTACTTATTATCATACAATATTAACAATTTTTGTTATATGTTTAATTTAGTATAATTTTTTTGGTCAGGCCTTCCTGTTACACCTGTATACCATATTTCCATATTTAAATACATTTTAGTACTATGAAAGTCATTTTTAATTATATAACAATTATTACCTGTTGATGAGACATAGTGAAGCACACCAACACCATTAGTATGAGAAATTTTATTTGGTGATTTAATTTGGTTTGAGATAGAATTTGCCAAACAAACTTCATCTTGTTGTTGGTCTGAAGAAGAAACTGGAGGTGATGGTGAAGTTTCTCTAGATAATGAATCTGCAATTGATAATTCACCGCCAGTTATGTGACTTGGTGATGGAGGAGCACTTCTAAAATAAAATAAAATTAGGCAACAATACAACTCAAATGTGCAAGTTTTTAATAAACATTAGACATTAAATATATTTAACAATATTTAAAGAAGATACCTTGAGGACATTCCAAACGAATTATGGAGCCTAAAACTAGGCACTCCTCTTATACGTCTACGACGAAAAGCTTGCTCAATTAATTTTTGTTCAGATGAAGGATCAATTCTCCAAAAAGCTCCTTTTCCAGGTTCTTCTTGTGAACGAGGAACCTTAATAACAAATTAATTTTAGTAAAGTACTTAAAAATCTAAATAGTTTTTTATTTATAATCTTTGTAAAAATTGGATAAAGTATGTTTTTTTTATTATTCGACCTTAGTTGAAAATTTGAGTTTTGTAAAAACTCAAGATTAGAGATGTTACGAACTGTTYGAAAACTGAACTGGAAATTTCAAATAATCGAACCGAACCAAATATCTAATAGTTCTGTTCGATAATCGAACCAGAGAAATAAAAATAAAAGTCGATGGAGTAACGGCTAAAATTATAAAATATTATTAAATAATTAATAAATTAATATTTAATGTTTGCTTGTTTTAAATATAGATGTTTTTCGCTTTTTCTTATTCTTATCAGTTATCATCATATTAATAATTAAAAATTAAAAATCTCATGCATAATAATTATTAACTATTAAAGTATTTAAGTAAATAGTTGTAAAATTCTGAGGTATGGTGGCTAAATGATAAATAAATAAATATTAAATATTAAATAAAATAATATCCAATTTAACTTTTAATGTTCGGTTCGGGTTTGATTAAAAGTGTGTAGGTTTGGATCTGTTCGAGTTCGTTAATTTAAAGAAAAGTTCGGTTCGACCTTCAATATTATGGTTCGTAACATCTCTACTCAAGATAAATATATTTTTTTTTTTTTTAAATTGAAAACTGAAACTTGAATTGATAAAAATATTTTCCTTAGTTATTGGAAGTAAATTTATAAAACAATAATCACATCATGTATTTATTTCTTAAAATTTGAAAATATTTTTTTTTAAATTTAGTTGATAATAACTAATAAGACTCGCATAACAATTTATAAGAGGCTGATAATAAAATATGAATTTTTAAAAGAATTTTAAGGATTCACAATTTAGGTTTTGATCCAATTATACATATTCTTTAACTTATAGTAAAATAATTAAATTCACCTTTATAAAATAACGATTCAAAGACAAGTTATGTCTTATAGAGTTTTGCCAGCCTTTATCTACGAATCGATAATATGGGTAATTTTTGGTAATATAGGAATAAATTCCACTTAAAGTAAGCTGACGATCAGAAGCTGAAGCAACAGCTTGTACAATGAGTTGAGCATATGAATAAGGTGGCTTGGATTCATCTTTAGATTTTGCATTAGAATTGCCATTGTTGTTATTAACAGGTGTTGATCTATCCTGGATCACAGTTTCAGGAGGACTGTAATTTTGTCCCGTGGATGTTGATGTACCATTTCTATAAAAATCACCAACATATGGTTCGCTACCAATGCTAACATCAAAAACAGTTGCATCTAATGGGCTAGTTTCTTCGTCTCGGCTATTCTGACTAGACATATTATTTATGTGTTTACTAAACAAACAATTTACATAGTTATAAACTTGAATATATTAATGAAAAATTAACACAGAAATCTTACTTTTCTTCTACATAAATAGCAGATGATGTAGGAGTAGAAATTACACCTATTTGACCAGGATGAGCTACTGCAGCTGCATATGCTGCCATTTGCAAATCTGGTCCAAGTGTATGTCGATTGTGTCCTCCTCTAGGACTAGTTGGACATGAATTAGCAGCACTAAACAAATAAAATTCATTAAATAAATGGGACTATAATCAATTTATGTTAAGTGTGCTTCTCAGGGGCGGCAGATATTTGTCAGGTTCAGTCGTACAATTCTCAAACCAGTGGCCGACTGTTACTGTTATGCATGGTAATAAGCCCATACTGACGCTGATAAATACTCTTAATAATAAAGACTATAGTTTAATTTCGCATTTCATCATTTAAAATTAATTATGTACATATTAACATATCTTTTTATTTGTATTAAAATATTAGCTTTTTTTAAAAAAAGACTTGTAACAAACAACAAAATAGTTTGAAAATAAATAGYTAAGTTATTGTTTTGTTTTAAATTCTATAAAAATTGGTAAAATGTTATCTTAAATAACAAAGTTTTCGGAACACATTTATATTATATATTAAATAAAAGATGGGTTTCTACACTTAATATACTTTTTTATTAATTAGTAATTAGATTATGTATTTATAAGAAAAAAAATATTTTAATTTAATTTATGCTAACCTTAAAGTGCCAGTAGGAGATGGGAAAGGGCTCATAAATCTATTTTCCTTTGATAAATAAGATGAAGGTTCTTGTTTGATGACTTGAGGAGGAATATTTATACTCAATGGACTTGCATAACTTCTTGAAGGTGTTGCAATTGGTCTAATTTGAGTTTGAATAAATGTATTCTGTTGTAGTACAGGGGGTGGTGCCATTTCATCTATCAAAGAATAAAACACTAGCCGAATTGTTGTGCTAGGAAATCGCATTAAACACCTGCAGAAAACAAAATAAACAATACATTATTTTCTCAATTATTTCTTACAAATACCTAGTTACATATTCTAAAAAAAAATATATAGCTATTATAAGTAAAACATTAAAAGACAAAATATGGGTAGGTATCTTAAGTAATTTTAATTGATTAACACGTTAACTGCCATGTGGATGCCGGCGTCCATATAATAATAGGTATTGATAATTTTTAGACCGCCAGCTGCCGCACCATATCATTCATAAGAGGCTATACGGCCGCAGGCTGCCGTAAATTAATTTGGATTTGTATTATTAAMTTTTCCATGGCGCTATAATAATGATCTTGAAAATATGCTGTGGCGTAGTGGGAATAATTGCAAATTTTTTTGATGTAATAAACATAATTTTAACATTTTTTTTTTGTATTTTTAATTTTTTTTCAAATTAAATAGTATATATATATACAAATACAAATTTATAATAACCCTGAAAAATGTCTTTGGCATTCCGATGATAAATATTCTTGAGGCAGCCGGCGGCTGCATGGTAGTCAATGTGTTAAGTTTGTTTTTTRCAAATTGTAATTATAAGAAAATATTAGCAACTATTTTTACCTATAACACACATCAAACAATAATTATATATTTTTGATAGATAATAGCTTATTTCAAAACAAAATATTGTAACACAGAAAACCAATAAGAGTAAATATTTAAAATTTAACTTAAGTTTTGAATTCAAAATAAGATATTGCTGTTTAATATTCAAACTAATATTGCAAATATATTAAAAATCTATGAGTTGGAATGATATTATGACATTACTTGAAAGCATAGAATACCATTAATGATAAATACCTAACAATTATATTCTTCCAGCAATTTCCTTGTAAAATGTATGCTTTAGTACCTAATTAATAATCTTTGGTTTGAAACTAATTGTATTTTACATTAATGAATAATTCGTACTGCAAAAGCGGATAGTTTAAAAACATATTTGACTTTATAATGTAAAAAAAATTTACAATTCTAATTTTTTTTAAATTAAAATATTTAAGTATCTACTTAAGTTCAAATATTTTAGCAAATATTTCTTGATTATTAAAAACATCCAGATTGAAATTAATTACATAAAAAGATTCTAATATAATATTAAAATAAAACTTAATTAGTTTTAATGAACTATATTTTAAAGTCAAAGCAGGTACCTATCTAGATACAATTTAAAAGTAAACTATTAACAATAAATAAATAAACTACTGTGTGAATTGTATTTTTACAATTATATAAAATAAGTATCTACCAGGAAATTGTAGGTAACCAACACTAAACTTAGATATTGGGATCTCAAACAATGGCGAATTTGGTCCAATCAGTATCATTTTATTTGGATTTTAATGTCAGAAGTCTGATAATCACATGGAAAATGTATTTATTTATTGAATAAATTCCAACTACATTGTAGAACTTGTGCAATAAGTTTTTATATGAATACCTATCAATGATTGTATTTTAAGCAAAATATTTAAAGATAGAAAATCAATTAACTCAAAAATGTACCTAGTTTAATATGAAATGAAATCTGAAAAATAGGTATTTCAAATTTCTAATGAATTGCAAACGCAACATTAATAGAGTAATATTCGGTCATATATTCAAAGGAATTAATTTTTTAGAAAATGTTTTTTAAGAAACCATAAGCTGAAAATAGGGGTCACAGGAATCTGTGAAAATGTATTTGGGCAGTAGTYGGTAGAGAAGGTCATTAGAAATCAGAAAGGTTTGTAATATACGAAGACAGTCGAGGCAGCCGTTAGGCACAGACCGTAACTAAGTTTTGTAAGCCCAACATTGACTAGTAGTGTAGATCCATCAAATCTGGATGAAGAAGATAAGGGAAATTATCTTTGTACGCGTCGCATGGGTGGTGCGTGTGTGTGTGTGTGAGCTATAATCGAAAATTTTGAACTTTGGCAACAGGGAGACCTTGAAAACCCGTTACACACGCACACACTTGCGCGTAGCCATTTATAACCAAACAACAAAAACACGTTATCATCGATCGCTCGTAACAACGTCGTGTCTCCCTATTCGTTTATCATATCGTTTGGGAAACAAAACGTTGTGTGTAAACACAGCGGCCGCCGGGTCAGACCGAACCGAACGAAGGGGGAAAGGGGGGAGGGGCGGCGCCGCGTGCGAATTTTTTTTTTTGACCGAAAATTTGTCGAATAAAAAAGCAAATGACGGGACGGTATCACAGCGACGATTTCACAGGTCGGGGCTTGTTTGACGTATAGAACAGTGGACGACGACCTTTGCAGGCCGCCGTTCGGGTACCGTACCTCCTGGGCAGCTGTAGCGCCGGGGCGCCCTTCCGCTGGAACACGCCGTCCACGAACACGCCGTTCTTGCCGTGGCACGTCAGATAGAAGTTTGGGTGTTCGTACAGCACGTCCAAGTGACGCCGCGATATGAAGCTCGAGTGGCCCATGTTGACGTCCACTTGGCCCTTGGAACTATTCCGGCCTATGACGATGCGCTTCTGTCTGATTAGGTACTCGAGCTCGCGGCCCTCGAGTTTGGCGATGACTCCTGTCACGTCCTGGTCCGGGGCCCATTGCACGTTGGTCGGGCTACCGGGCATTGACTTGAGCGCGTGCAGCGTCCAATCCGTGTCGGACATGGTGCACACGTAGCACCGTGTCTACTGATGCTGATGCGACGGATGAACGGACAGCGGGCGGGCACGCGTGTGTTTATTACACTTCGGCGGGCGGCGGCAATATCGTGAAGATCGATATAGACGATAACACACGCGACGACGATGATATCGCGGTACGGTGGCGGCGGTGATTCGTATCGATGCTGCGACGGTTTGTGGTCGTCAGGTCCAGGCGAGTGTAGGCGAATAACCTGCACCGGTGTGCGTGCACGAGACGTACTCGGCGCGGCGGAATCGAAGACGCGTTACGCGCACACGCACAGTCGACAGCCGTGTACAGACGTTCCGACCGCGACAGACGGAGACAGAATGATGGACGGACGTCGGAAGATAAACGGTGAGCGAGTRGAAGACGGCGGTAGATGAGGAAGAGGGAGTGAGAGAGAATGATACGGCGAGAGTAAGTTGCTGCTGCTGTTATTTTTTTTTCCCCCGAAACGGCGGCGATGACGGACAGCGATGCGAACGACGAAAAACCAAAGTACGAGTGCGAACGAACGTATGCGTGTATGTGTGTGTGCGTGTCTCCGTGTTGCGTGTGTCTGTGCGCGCGCGCGCGCTGGCGTGATAGTGTGCGTGTGCTTGGGCGCGGGGGAAGGCGGCGGCGGCGGTGTGCCCGTTTGTTTAGTGTTTACCAGCAGATGACCGGCGGCCTCGGGTGGAGGGTGTGTACCACGCTACCACGTGACGATCGAACTGCTGCGACGGCGGCCGGTGCTGCTGTTGACGTCGAGTGGCGGTGACGGTGACGATGTGGGCGACGGCAGCAGCGGTGTCGTCGTCGTCGATCGTCGGACACGCGTCGAGCCGACGACGAAAACTCCGCGACGGCGCGCGCGCCGGTTATCGTTTTTTTTTATATAATTCTTTCCCGCGCCCGCTCGCCCACTGCTCCACCACTCTGTTTCTCGGCGTGCGATGCGAGTTCGTTACGACGTTGTCTTTCTCTGTTTTTTTACTAAACCGTTTTTGGGGGTTATGACGGTATAMTCTACGCGGGCGGTACACTGTCGTCGACGTCGAGCCGGCCAATCGCGTTTTTGAAAATAAATTACAATTACTGTTCTATTAAGTTATTGGTATTGTGTGACGTGTGAGTAGGAATACTGATAAATGATAATGTTACATATTTAAATTAAAGATTAAACGCGTGTGCGACGAGTCTGATGGAGATTGGTACAGTCGGACGTGTATTTATTTCAGTTCCTCTAAGGTGATGATATRTTGATGCGGGTTTAGAAAAATCAAAAATAAAAGTTCATGTTATAATAACAATAGTAATAAATAATAAATATTATTAATTCAAATTAAACGTCGATTGTGGGCGTGCGCGTTACTATTTTACCAATGTTACTGTCGTTGGAATCGAATGAATTTATTGAATTTCGGGGAGCTTTGATTGTTGGCTCTATCAAGTATCAATCTATAACAAGGCGTGACGACTACTATGAGCATAGAATACTATTCTATSCTATGAGTACGCTAAATTTAATATAATGTATATATCATGGGCCATACAACTAACAATAGATTTTAGATTTGTATACATAGCTCTGATAATAATAATAATAATAATAATAACAGTCGTGAGTAATGATTATCTATATTGACAATATTCCATGTTGACTATAATGACGGCAACGCGCATGCGCTGCGCATTTGACCACTGTGCCTGTGTATTGTACTATTGTGTAAGCCCCCGAACCGGCCGAACCCGGCTCATGCGCACACACGCGTTGGCTGTAAAATACGCCGCGGTGCTGTGTGTGTATGTTGACGCATGCGCGCATGTGCTGGTTTCGACACAAAACAAAAAACAGCTGAGATCGCCGTCGCCCGGCGGACATCAAGGTTTTTATCAGCGCCGTGTAAACACGCCAAATAGGTTATAAACGTGCGAGACCAAAGAGGTTAAAAATTGGTCCACCGTATGGTAGTACTTGTGGTAGAGGTGGTAACAACTACTGTTAATTTTTGTACGGCCACCGCGTTCGACGACACTGCACGACAGTGACGTCGGACGACACTCGGTCAACGCCACCACAGCTTTGTTGTTTGTGTTCCATCTTCCATTCGTCTTCGAACGAATTATTATTTGTGACTATTATTATTGTTGTTCGGTGTTTCCCTCCACCCACCGTCGCTCCCACCATGCACACGACGCGTTCTCACTTCTCACTTACCTGATCACCCGGTCCGGATCGTACCTATCCATACAAAACGCTCATCTGTTGTTGTTGTTATTATTATTATTATTATTATTATTATTGTTATTGTTATTGCGCCGTTTGTGCTCTGTTGAATACTTGAATAGGTTCACAGTACAAACACAAAACACGCGCACACTCACGCATCCACTTATCTGCGTTATTGTGTATTGTAATTATGGTTTCGGGTCTCCGATAATAATTATTATTATGTGCTCATCGCTCTTAGAAAGATAATTCATAATTATTATGGTAGACATTTTATATTGCCCACCGAGAAAAATCGAATTTACAGATAACGAAAATTAATAAAAAAAATCATTGGCCGTCCCTGTCSAGACGACTGCGTAATTAAATCCATCGATAAACTGTATAGAGTACGGTACAATATTACAATATTATTAATCGTAAAAAGCCACGGAATCGCGTAATTCAATATCATGCACGAATAATACGATACATCATATTATTATTATTATTATTATTATTTATACTGTTCCATTATTATTACAATATCCACTGTCGGCACTTGGGCGACTCACCTACCGCGTTGCTTGCTCGTGCACACGTCATGACAATAATAAATTGACGATAATCATCACACGTCCTCTGAGTATCAATCGCGATCGGGCGCAGATTTTTTTTTTATTTTCACACACCATCGGGCGAAGCGAAATTCGACCGGAAAAAAATATCATCCGACCGACGAGGTTACAATGGTGACATGCGTTTATCGCGGGCCGAGTTCGCGTTTATTTTTATACACGTGACACGTCATGTCTTGTCGTCGGCAGTGTTTCGGAAATAGGAAATCTGTAAACCCAATACGGACATTTAAATATGTATTGGCAGCGGACGAACGCGTGTCGTGTATTGTGAATGATCGAAAAAAAGTTTTCATCGGATTTTTAGGTRGAATTGCGCGTATTACAGACAGCAAACTAAAWAARGTCACCAAATCAAACTCTATGTGTGTGTGGACACCGTAGTTGGACCCTATCTCAAACACTGCCATGGTTTTGAATTACCTGTATATCCGAAATYACCAATGCCCAATTTATGTACCTAAATTACTTATTTAAATACAATTTTTTAACACAGTAAAAGTACTATACAGTTAAAATATAGTTTATGAAAATAAAATTGACCCATAATAATAGATAACTGCAGATTTTAAATGTTTTTAAAATTAGGTTGTGTAATATTCAACATTTTAAACTATTGGCAGTGACTGTAGGGAAAAGAAGCCACAGAAAAAAAAAATCATCGGAAATTTAAGCGATGGAAAAAAAGTCATTTTACAATAATTAAATATATAACAATTAAAATTAAAGTATTAAATTAGGTATTATTTAAAAAATTTTTACACATTATTGATCATATTGTATACATAAATATATAATTATTAATACACAGGTTATATGTTATTATTTATTTTCATAGTAATAAATATATTTCAGATTTTAAACAGCAATGAATGTATTGATTTTATTAAACAGAAAATATAAATTAAAAATATACATAAATTTATTTATTTCAAGATAGTGCATGTAGTTCATACTGCAAAATTAACATCTACAAGAATCATCCTGTACAAAGTATATACATTATACTTATACAATACAATATCCACAAA